GCCGTCGGGGGCCCAGTGCCGCGCTGCGGGCGAGGGGTGCCCGTCGACTCCGGGTCGATGTCCCCTGCCCCTTGGCTTGAGTCGGGGCTGTCCCTCTACAGGGGGAATATTCAAGAATAGTAAAAAAATAGTCTGGGGACGATTTCAGAAGTATTTATTTGCCATTTTAGGGTCATTTCTGGGGTATTTTTTGTATTTTTTGTCGAAAATCCCACTGTAGGGGGACACGCCCGACTTAACCCTGGGCCAGTGCTTCCGGTCGATCCCCCTCGTCCCTTCACGTCGTGAGCGAAATGGGGCTAAGTCGGGCCCGTCCCTCTACAGGGGGAATGCTCAAGAATAGGCAAACCATACTTTGGGGATGGAGCATTTTTTGGCCCCATTTTGGGGTATTTCTGGGTCATCTTTAATATTTTTCGTCGAAAATACCCCTGTAGGGGGACAAGCCCGATTTAACCCTGGCCCAGTGCTTCCGGTCGTTCCCCCTCGCCCCTTCACGTCGTGAGGGAACTAGGGTTAAGTCGGGCCCGTCCTTCTACAGGGGGAATGCTCAAGAATAGGCAAAAAATAGTCAGGGGACGATTTCTGGAGGATTTTTTGACCATTTTGGTGCATTTCTTGTTTTTGTTGTGGTTGTTGTCGAGAATCCCCCTGTAGGGGGACACGCCCGACGTAACCCTGGGCCAGTGCTTCCAGTCGTTCCCCCTCGCCCCTTCACGTCGTGAGTGAACTAGGGCTAAGTCGGGCCCGTCCCTCGACAGGGGCAACATTCAAGAATTGTCAAAACATATTCTGGGGACTATTTCTGGAGTATTTTTTTTGCCATTTTGGGGTATTTCTGTTTTTTTTCCTCGTCGACAATCCCCCTGTGGGGGGAGACGCCCGACTCAACCCTGGGCCAGTGCTTCTGGTCGTTCCCCCTCCCCCCTTCACGTCGTGAGCGAACTAAGGCTAAGTCGGGCCCGTCCCTCTACAGGGGAATGCTCAAGAATAGTCAAAGAATAGTCTGGGAACTATTTCTGGGATATTTTTTTTGGGGGGGGCATTTTGGGCATTTTTTTCGCGTTGAACATCTCCCTGTAGGGGGACACGCCCGACTTAACCCTGGGCCAGTGCTTCCGGTCGTTCCCCCTCGCCCCTTCACGTCGTGAGCGAGGTAGGGCTATGTCGGGCCCGTCTTTCTACAGGGGGAGTGTTCAAGAATAGGCAAACAATAGTTTGGGGCAAAAAATAGTCAGGGGACGATTTTTGGAGCAGTTTTTGGCCCCATTTGGGGGGATTTTTGTTTTTTTTGCGTTTGTCGAAAATCCCACTTTAAGGGGACACGCCCGACTTGATCCTGGGCCAGTGCTTCGGGTCGTTCCCCTTCGCCCCTTCACGTCGTGAGCGAACTAGGGTTCAGACGGGCCCGTCCTTCTACAGGGGCATTTTCAAGAATAGTTAAAGAACAGTTGCGATTTCTGATGCATTTTTAGGCATTTTTGGGTAATTTGTTTGGGGGATTTTTTTTCCCGTCGACAATCTCCCTGTGGGGGGAGACGCCGTTTCCCGTCGCCCCTTCACGTCGTGAGCGAACTAGGGCTAAGTCGGGCCCGTCTTTCTACAGGGGGAATGTTCAAGAATAGGCAAAACATAGTCTGGGGACGATTTTTGGAGGATTTTTTTGCCATTTTGGGGTATTGATTCCCCACATCCAAAGTGGGGTTCTTGTTTTCTTTGGACACCCCGCGCAGGAACAGGAACCCACCATCATCATCATCACTCATTCCTCACTCACTCACTCACTCACTCATCATCCCTCACACACTCACTCACTCACTCACTCACTCACTCACTCACTCACTCACTCACTCACTCATCAGCACTCACATATGATGATGATGAGTGTGCGCGTGAGAGAGCGTGGTGATCATCATCATCACCAGTCAGTCAGTCAGTCACTCACTCACTCACTCGCCTTGGGCCTCGTTTGTGAGTGAATTGCGAGGAAGTCTCAAGCGGGAACCCCCTCCCTATGGGGCCCGCGGATCATGTTACTAATCCGAGCGGGTCATCCAATTCTTGTAACTGTCGCCACTTTTGGGCTCTCGCGCTGCCAGAACGCCATTCCCATGCCACATCTGTGAGTGAATTGCGAGGAAGTCTCAAGCGGGAACCCCCTCCCTGGGCCCGCGGATCATGTTACTAATCCGAGCGGGTCATCCAATTCCTGTAACTGTCGCCACTTTTGGGCTCTCGCGCTACCAGAACGCCATTCCCAGGCCACTTCTGTGAGTGAATTGCGAGGAAGTCTTCAGCGGGTGCCCCCTCCCTATGGGGCCCGCGGATCATGTTACTAATCCGAGCGGGTCATCCAATTCTTGTAACCGTCGCCACTTTTGGGCTCTCGCGCTGCCAGAACGCCATTCCTAGGCCACATTTGTGAGTGAATTGTGGGGAAGTCTTAAGCGGGAGCCCCCTCCTTATGGGGCCCGCGGATCATGTTACTAATCCGAGCGGGTCATCAAATTCCTTGACTGTCGCCACTTTGGGGCTCTCGCGCTGCCAGAACGCCATTCCCAGGCCACATTTTGAATGGCCGGAGCCAACTGTAGGTCACTTCGTGTTCTTCGTGCTCCCAGAACACCATTCCCGGGCCACATTTTGAATGCCCGGAGCCAGCTGTAGGCCATTTCGTGTTCTTCGTGTTCCCAGAACACAACTCCCCGGCAACTTTCTGAATGTTCGGAGCCAAAACAGGAGGGCGAGGTCGGGGGCAACGTAGGGAGCGGGGGGAGGGCCCGCGCCAGGGCGAAAAGAAATATACGCAGAAGAGACAGCCAGGACGCCTCACCAACCACGAGGACGACGGTGAGGGCTTTTTCCAGACTCGCCCACAGGATTCTCATGTGGGGTCCTTCCGTCGGAGTAATGTTTTTTTGTGTTTCGTCGACAATCCTCCTGCAGGGGGACACGCCCGACTTAACCCTGGGCCGGTGCTTCCGGTCGTTCCCCCTCGTCCCTTCACGTCGTGAGCGAACTAGGGTTCAGTCGGGCCCGTCACTACACAAAGGGAATATTCAAGAATGGTAGAACAATAGTTGTGGGGCGATTTTTAGAGTATATATATATACACAATTTTGTTGTATTTGATTTATTTTCGTCGAAAATCCCCCTGTAGGGGGACACGCCCGATTTAACCCTGGGCCAGTGCTTCCGGTCGTTCCCCCTCGCCCCTTCACGTCGTGAGCGAACTCGGGCTAAGTCGGGCCCGTCCCTCTACAGGGGGAAAATTTAAGAGTAGTCAAAGAATAGCCTGGGGATTTTTTTGAGCATGTTTTTGCTATTTTGGGTAATTTCTGGGGTATTTTTGGTGTTTCGTTGGAAATATTCCTGTAGGGGGACACGCCCGACTTAACCCTGGGCCAGAGCTTCCAGTCGTTCCCCCTCGTCCCTTTTCGTCGTGAGCGAACTACGGCTAAGTCTGGCCCGTCCCTCTCCAGGGAGAAAATTCAAGAATAGTCGAAGAATAGTCTGGGGGCGATCTTTTTAGAGCATTTTGGCTATTTTGGAGGATTTTGGGGGTATCTTTTTTTTCGTCGAACGCTTTCCTGCAGGGGGACACGCCCGACTTAACCCTGGGCCTGTGCTTCCGGTCCTGCCCCTTCGCCCCTTCGCGTCGTGAGCGAACTAGGGTTCAGTCGGGCCCGTCCCTCTACAGGGGGAATATTCAAGAATAGTCAAAGAATAGTCTGGGAGCGATTTTTAGAGTATTTTGGCAATTTTGGGGCATTTTTTGTTTTTCGTCGAATATCCCCCTGCAGGGGGACACGCCCGACTTAACCCTGGGCCAGTGCTTCCCGTCGTTCCCCCTCGCCCCTTCACGTCGTGAGCGAACCCGGGCTAAGTCGGGCCCGCCTTTCTACAGGGGGAAAATTTAAGAATAGTGAAATAATAGTTTGGGGGCGATTTCTGGAAGATTTTTTTTACCATTTTGGGGCATTTCTTGGGTACTCTGTTGTTTGTTTGTCGAAAATCCCTCTGTAGGGGGACACGCCCGATTTAACCCTGGGCCAGTGCTTCTGGTCGTTCCCCCTCGTCCCTTTTCGTCGTGAGCGAACTAGGGTTCAGACGGGCCCGTCTTTCTACAGGGGGAATATTCAAGAATAGTCAAAAATAGTCTGGGGACTCCTTCTGGCGTATTTTTTTGCCATTTTGGTTTTTTAGTATTTGTGTATATTTCGTCGCATATCCATCCCCCTGTAGGGGGGCACGCCCGACTTAACCCTGGGCCAGTGCTTCCCGTCGTTCCCCCTCGCCCCTTCACGTCGTGAGCGAACTAGGGTTAAATCAGGCCTGTCCCTCTACAGGGGGAAAATTCAAGAATAGTCAAAGAATAGTCTGGGGACTATTTTTGGAGTATTTTTTGGCCATTTGTTTTTTTTCTTTTGTCGACAATCCCCCTGTAGGGGGACACGCCCGACTTAACCCTGGGCCAGTGCTTCCGGGCGTTCCCCCTCGCCCCTTCACGTCGTGAGCGAACTAGGGCCAGAGGCCTTTCGGCCATTCTCGGCCCCATGGTGCACTTGCCGGGCTCCTGGGCCGCCAGCAACGACGACCCGGACGAGAATGCCGGCGCCAGGGACAGCCGACGTTGCCAAGGAAACCTCATCATCAGGGAAGTCATAGCCGGAGTCCTCGAGCCCGCCTTCTGCGCGGGGTTCCTCAGGCTGGACCGATCCGAGGGGGCCGAAGGATTTGAAACCTCGAGCAGGGGATCGACTACATGATTGATTTACCCCAAAATTGATTTCCCCATCGAAGCTACGACGAATACGTGGAATGTTCGTATATCGACTGAGAACTTAGATGTTTTCTGTAGAGTCGACGATAATGTAGTCGATCCCCTACTCGAAGACCAGGCCAGGGCGCCGGGTGCGAGGAGCATGTGGCGCCTGGATCACGGTCGCCATCGGGCGGACAGCCATCGGGAACCAATACAGGGACGCCACGTGCGCGGCGCTCGCGAGGGGTGCGCCGTGCGCGCCGTGCGCGCCACGTGCACCAGGGGCACCAGGTGACCCAGGGGCCCAAGCGTACCAAGCTCAGGTTGGGCATGTCTTCCTACAGGCAGAGTTTGGACGCAAAATATAAGACATGTAAACATACATACATTCAGGTATAGTCAGACATGGCAGAACACTCATTCCGATATGTTTGTTCTTCACATTTCTGAGTTCGCACCAAGCGCGCAGATGTGCCACTCTCGCCAAGTCTGCTACATGCTCCAGCCGCGCGAGCTGCGCGGGCTGCGCGACGCGCGCAGAGTGCGCCAGGCGACGACGGGCGTGCCAGTGCAAGGGACAGCACGCATCGACAACATGTCGACGCTGCCACCGTGCCTGTCAAGCGCCAATGCAAAGTGGCTTCGGGGTTAACAGAAAGGTGCATGGCCTGTGCACCCGCAATCAGTTTGCATGATGTGGAGAATGGTCCAGCGCGCAGCGGACAAGTGCGATCCCCCCCCATCACACCTGCACAAGGATCGTGGGGTGCCCGCTCATGATCCAGCTTTTCCCAACACCTGCGCTTTGTGCAGTTTTTGTTTTAGGAGTGGCAAGGGGGACGCATTGTTCCTGGTTGGTGGCTGGTTGAGTCGGGGAGGGGCTGCTCATTACTATGGAACCGTACGTGTCTGGATTCGCTATATCTTTCGATCTGTCTCGCTCGCTCTAGCACGCACTTGCTGGCGCTGATCAACGTGACGTGGGTTAAAACATGTTGGAACATGTGTGTGCCCAGCGGTCTCGAACACAACCGCGATTCGCGGGGCGCGACGCTCGAAGTTTGGGGACCTAGGTTGCCAGGGCCCCGCCACCCTGGCCGGGGCGGAATCGCTGCAAGCCTGAGTCGGGAGCCTTGAGACGGGTGTCAGTGCAAACGGGGGTCAGCCAGGGCACCGGATCCTGCAGGATCCTACGAAGACCCCCTCGGGCTGACCCGGGTTAGTGAGCCGCTCGTGGCCGCGAGGCGGCCGCGCATATTGGCTGACCCGGGTTTGTGAAGACCTGCGTTGCAGCTTTTTTTCTTGCTTCCTGCATTGCAGTTTTTGGCTTCCTGCTGACCCGGGTCTAGATTGACCCGGGTCAAAAGATCCTCGATTGAGTTCTGGCAGAGGACCCCAGCAAAGGTTGACAGGCTCCCATATAGAGATGAAAAGCAAAAGCAGCAGGATGGATTCAGGGCGTTTCTGTATTTCAAAGAGGACTCGACTGGTTCGACCCTGTCCCATTGCACTTTGCACAGCAAGAAAGACGGAGACCGATTCCTTATCAAAACCAGGCTGTCGTCTGAATGGCAGGCACGTGGGGACTTCGTCTTTCAGTGGGGGCTTCCCGAGGCGAAGAGGCATACTTGTTGATGATTCGGGGGCTTGGGACGGGACGGTACATTGCAGCATCGTTGATGGTTCCTCCTCGTCCTCCTCCTCCTCCTGCGCCTCCCTCTTCCGCTTCCTCCTACGCCTCCCTCTTCCTCCTCCTCCTTCTCCTCCTCCTCCTCCTACTTCCCCCTCCTCCATTTCCTTCCTCCTCCACCTCCTCCTCCTCCTCCTCCTCCTCACTCGCACCTGGCGGCAGCCTTGAGGCCTGCGGTGGGACCTCTGTCTTCTCACTCCCCCTCTTCCCTCCCTCGTCCTGCTCCTCCCTCCTCCCACCGCCCACCAAACCACGCCAACCCAACCCGAAGGCCCAGATCTGTCCTCCATTTCCAGGGGGGGGGGGCGTCGGAGAACGTTACAAAAACACATGTGGAACCCTTCCCCTCCCCCCCAACCCGAAATTCGGGTCTTCGGGTCGGGTTGGAGGGGTCTGGTCGGTAGTCATCCTCCCTGCTCCTCCCTCCCTCCCTCCCTGCTCCTCCCTCCCTCCCTCCCTCCCTCCCGGCTCCTCCTCCTCCTCCTCCTCTTCCCTCCTCCTGTCCTCCTCCTCCCTCCTCCCCTCCTCCTCCTCCTCGTCGTCCTCCTCCTTCTCCTCCTCCATTTCCCTCCTCCTCCTCCTCCTCCTCCTCCTCCTCCTCCTCCACCCTCTCCTCATGCCTCCTCCCTCCCTCTTCCCTCCTCCCTCCTACCTCCTCCCTTCCCTCTTCCCTCCTCCCTCTTCCCTCCTCCCTCCTCCCTCCTCCCGCCTCCCTCCTCCCTTCCTGCTCCTCCCGCCCTCCCTCCCTCCCTCCTGGCCCCTCCGCCGGCGGCGGCGCACGGCCCGAGGAGCGGCAGCTGAGGATGACCGCCTACAACGCGCTCAGCGTGCTGGTCAGCCGGGCGGGCCTGGACTGCGCGGGGCACATGCAGGCGCGGCGCGCGGGGGCGCCGGGCTCGCCGGCTGCTCTGGCCGGACGGGGTCTCCCTGAGATTCGCCGAGCGCGCTCCACTGCAGACCACCCGCACACCAGGGGTGCCCTTTGCACCCTCGCCCCTGCGGCCCATCCTTGGCCACTTTCGCTTGCCAGCCTCGTTCGAAAAACGCTTTCATGGGCCTCCAGGGTCCCTGTAGCCTTACCGAGCATCCTTCTGATACGGGTTGACTGTGCTCGCAACGCGCCTTCACCAGCGCGTTCCACTACTCGCGAAGCGCGTGTTCGCTTCGACGCGCTGGATCGTAGATCCCCCGCGGCTGATATAGGCCCTTCGCGAGCAGTCGCTCTGTGAGGAGAGTGGTGGAGCGGGCTGGTCTAGAGATCCTGGCGCTGCGCTTTTTTCTCGAGCTGGGCTTCTCTCCGCCTGGTTTCGGGCCCCTGGGAGCCTCGCAGATCGACCCGGCTCGAGAAAGGAGGCAGAAAGATGCCCCGGTCGTGATATTTTGCGACGTTGCAATTTTTTCGCAGCGTTGGATCTCCGGGTAGGATGGGCAGAGGGGGGTACGCGCTCTGCTGCATGCAGCGGGTCTCCGCCTCGTCGCCGTGCCCATGCGCCGGTACATGGGCGCTTCCTGGCGCCAGGATGTGCCAGGAAAACCGGATACGTGAGCTGATTCTCTACCCTACCCTGTGCTATCCTGCCCTTTGGCCCCCCACCCCGACCCGCTCAGCGGCGAAATCCTAACCCTAGCCTCGCCGATCAACGGTTCAGGCAGCTCGATGGGCGGCGGGGGCAGGGTTGGGATTTCGTCGAACACCTGGCGAAGGCCGAGCCCTGCCTCCACCTCCCGTCGATTCAGGCGAACCGAGGGTTGGTGGGGGTGGGGTTTGGATGGCACCAAGTACCCACCCGGCTGGGAGGAGGCGGGGAGGGTTGGGGCTCACGCGACGGGGGTCAGCGCAAAGCAGCCGATGCCCTCTGGCTGACCCTGGCTTGGGAGCCACGCGGTGCCGGTCTCCCTCTCTCCGCCCTCCCCCGGCCCAGGTCTGGGAGCTGCGGCCGGACCGATGTATGAGATCGAGGTCGGTTCTGGCAGGGTACCCTGATGTTCTTGGTGTCTGTTGGATGCTCTTGTGCATCCCGGGGAGGGTGCCCTCGGATGCTCTGTGTGCTTTCGCCGGCGGAGGGTCTCATGTTCTTGACGAATGCTCTTCTGTGCTGAGCGGCCCGCTGGGCACTGCGACAGGGCCGTAGCCGACCTATGTTTGTGTTGACCTGGACTATGCGTGCCCGAGAAGGGTTGGGGAAGGAGGGTGAGGGAGGAGGGGGGGTGGAGGGGGAGGAGGAGGTGGGGGCAGGAGGAGGAGGCGGAGGACGACGACGAGGACGAGGACGAGGAGGAGGAGAATGAGGAGGATGATGATGAGGAGGACGAGGAGGAGGAGGAGGAGACTTCGAACCGCGTCAGTCTGCGCCTTCGGTCGGCAAGTCGAAGGCCAATTACTGCGCGGCTGCCGCGCGCTTAGGCGAGGGCGGGCAGCGCATCGTCGCGTCGACCGAAGTCGCGGTCGTCAAGCGGTTGTCAGCTGGTAACCTTCTCGTTGGAGCTGTGGACGCGCGCGGGCTGACATGGCAGCAGGTCGTGCAGCAAAGCAAGACACCGCGCACGAGCGCTCTCGGCCGCGCCTGGAAGCATGCTGTGTAGTGGGGAGGTCTCCCACGAGGTGCGAGTCCCTCTGCGGGCAAAGCGGGCACAGCCACACAGATGCTTCCTGTTCTTGCATGCTGCCGCCCCGACCCCTCCCGCCACCCGCGACGTCCAGGCGTCGAGCGGTAGGGCCGGGCGCCGAAGCACATGTGCGAGAGTGATCGGAGTTTCTGTCCGACTCCCGCCTGCCCGTCTTGGACGACCGCTGCTGAGCAAAAGTCAGCACGGCGACACGCCCTTATCACCAGCGGAAGGCTCCCACATTATAGCTGGGACGTCATGACGTCGATAGGTCGAGCCGAGCCTCTGAGCTCCTGTGCGAGAGGCGCGAGAGGCAAAGTGGCTTGAAGCTTAACTTTCCCTCCTCCTTCGGGCTATCAGACGGATCCAGATTCTACAGCAGGTGGAGTTCTAAATGGGACGTCGACGCGTTGGTAGGGCGAATTGAGTTTACGAACCCCTGTGCGAGAGTAGTCGTACATCACGAGCGCGCTGTCTTGTTCGTGCCGCCAACGTGCGTCAGTCCAGTGCCAGTGCTAACTCGGTCGTTTGCATCTAGCGTGCGGGTTGCTGGATGGAGCACATCCTGCGAGCCCACTGCCGCGGGCGTTCCCGGACACCGCCAGGAGGAGCCACAGCCCTCCTCGAAATCAGCCGCAAGTTCTTTTGTGTGGTCGACGCGCGAAGCGCGGCCCACGGGGTCAGATTCTTGTGCTTGCAGCCGCCAGCTTCGGCGCGAGCGCCGAACTTTTGGGGTCCCAGGGGGCCGCCACGTCGCGAGAGAATTTGCGTCTGATCTCGAGGGGGGATGGACGGATGCAAGGAGCAGCGTCCGGGCCCTTCGCTCCTCGATCCTTGGTCCTCTCCCCGCCCCCGAGACGCTCACGCAAGTGATGCTGACGCACCTGTCCGCGTCCTTCGCGCTGCCCGAGCAGGTGAGCCGGGAGTGCGAGCTGCAGGCCGCGCCGCGGCCGGGCCTCCGCCCCCGGCGCGGTTCCGCGGGTCCGTGCCGGCCCGCTCTGAGAGGCCCTCTGAGCTCGGGAGGGAAGCATGCAGTGGGGGCCCGTGCCAAGAAGCACCCTGCTTGCCTCCAGGGTGCCCTGGGTTTGTTGGGTTTCGATGGTTTTGCCATGGACAGCGTGACGTTCCCATACCAAAAATCAATGGACGTCCTGGGGGCTCAGGGTTGGGTTTCTTGTGGAAGGTTTCTTGTGGACTGGCCTCCACTGTAGGCACGCACACACAATTAAACGTCGATTCCCACGAAGACATGGGCAACTAAAGGAAGTTGAGGGGAAGACGAGACTCCAGAAGATATGGGAACCAGTATGGGGGGCCTGGGCTTTGTGTCTATGGAGTTGTGTCTCTCTGGGCCTCTCTCTACTTGAGCGCGAGTCGGGATGGAGTCGGAATAGACCTCAGCGGACAGTCTTGTTGTCATTGTTTCTGCTGCTGCTGCTGCTGATGCTGCAGTTGTTGTTGTTGTTGCTGCTGTTGTTGTTGCTGTCGGTTGTTGTTGTTGTTGTTGTTGTTGGTGGTGTTGGTGGTGTTGTTGGTTTTGCAGTTGTTGATGCTGTAGCGTGTGCTGTTGCGGTTGCTGCTGCTGTTGTTGCTGTTGTTGTTGTTGTCGTTGTTGTTGTTGCTGCTGCGGTTGTTGTGATCATGATGGTGGTGGTTGTGGTTGTGGTGTGTTGTTGTTGTTGTTGTTGTTGTTGTTGTAGTTGTGTTTGTTGTGTTTGTTGTTGTTGTTGTTGTTGTTGTTGTTGTTGATGTTGATTTCTGATTGCGGAGGACTAATTATTGTTGATTCCCCCTCCAGGGCACATGGTGTTTTTTCAATTGAAGTGCCCTTCCCGGGGCACACACGCCTTCTTTTTTATCAAAGAAAGTGCTGGGTCTCAGAATTGTGTCTGTGGCCCCCGTTTACAACAGCAACAACGGCTCCCGCTTGATTGTTCCTCATAATGTATTCCCACATCGCGCTCTCGCCCAGAAATTCCTCACAATGTATGGATAGATCGTGCTCTCGCGCGGGACTTCCTCGCAATTTATTCAGACGCTGCGCCCTCGACATTCAGGAATCGCGATCTCGCTTTGGCCTATCTCACGATTTACTTGTGAATCGCGCTTTCGCTCGAGACTCGCGATTCATGCAGGACGCACGCTTCAGCAACTCGCCTGCTCGACCTGGCCGCCTGGGCCCGCCTTCCTGACCCGCCTGTTAGGGTCTGGCCGCCCGATCTGCCCGTCTGGTTTTGCCACGTGTTTTCTGGTCCTAGCCTCCCTTCTGCTATTCTCTCTCTCTCTCTCTCTCTTGCTCAATCCTCCTCCCTCCCCCTTGTCACTGTTTTCCATCCGTCCTCTCTTCCCCTGCCGTAGAGGGGGTGCATGAATACACGTTGCAGGTAAGAAAGATATATCCCCAAGGGGGTGCGGTCGAAGATGAGGAGGGCGGGTATCGAGGTTTTGATATATACTTGTTGAGCGGCGCGCACGGAGATAAGAGCGATCAGTTTCGAACTTATTGCTAGTGTTGTTGTTGCTGCCTGTGCTTCTGCTGCTGTTGTTGTTGCTGCTGCTGTTGTTGAGAATTTACTTCTAGAGAATAATGTTTGTTGACACCCCTCCAGTAACACATGTGTTGTTTCAATTCAAGTGCCCCTTCAGGGGCTCGCACCTGGGTCCTTGCATTTTTTGGGGGAATCGCGCTCTCGCTATGGACTTCCTTGCAATGTATCAAAGAATCGCGCTCTCGCTTGTGACCTCCTCGCATTTTTTTCAGGCGCCACGCCCTTGCCATTCAGGAATAATGATCTCGCCTGGGACTATTTCATAATGTTTTTGTGATTTGCGCTTTCGCCCGAGACTTCCTGGCGAATTATGCAGGACTCACCGACTCGCGTAACGTTCATGCTTTTCTCAATTTAAGTACTCCTCCTGGGGCTCGCTTTGTTCCTACCTGGGACAATCTTCCTGCTCAAATTGTGCCCCTGGCCCCCGGTTTCAAACAACAACGGCTACCGCCTGATATTTCCCCACAGTTTATTATCACATTGCGTTCTTCCAAGGGACTTCCTCACACTTTATTCAGGAATCGCGCTCTCGCGTGGGACTTCCTCGCAATATATTCAGACGTCGCGCCCTCGACAATCAGGAATCACGCTCTCGCTGTGGACTTCCTCACGATTGATTTGGGAATCGAGCTGTCGCTCGAGATTTCCGTGCGATTCATGCAGGGCGCACGCTTCAACAACCCGCCTGCTCGACCTGGCCACCTGGACCCTCCTTCCCGACCCGCCTGGTAGGGTCTACCCGCCCGATCTGCCCGTCTGGTTCTGCCACGTGTTTTCTGCCCCTGCCCCCTCCTAGACTCTCGTGCTCCATCCTCCTCCCTTTTTTCCATCTGTCCGTTCTCCCCTTACCTCGAGGGCTGGACGAAATGCACGAAGACGAAGAGGGCGGGTATCGAGAATTTGAGGTATACATGTTCAATGACAAGCGAGCAGATCAGAGCGAACAGTCTTAAACTGATTGTTGTTGTTGCTGTGGCTGTTGCTGCTGCTATTGTTGTTGATGTTGTTGCTGTTGTTGTTGCTGTTGTTGTCGTTGTTATCGTTGTCGTTGTCGTTGTCGCTGTCGTTGTCGTTGCCGTTGTCGTTGTTGCGGTTGCTGTTGCTGTTGTTGTTGTTGTTGTTGTTGTTGTTGTTGTTGTTGTCGAGGCTATTGTTATTGTTGATATTGTTGTTGTTGTTGCTGTTGTTGGTGTTGTCGCTGTTGTTATTGGTGTCTTGGTCGTTGTCGTTGTCATTGCCGTTGTCGTCGTCGTCGTTGTTGTTGGTTTTGTTGCTGTTGCTCTTGCTGCTGCTGTTGTTGTTTGTTGTTGTTGTTGCTGCTGGTGTTATTGTTGTTGTTGTTGTTTTTGTTGTTGTCGTTGTCGTTGTCGTTGCCGCTGTCGTTGTCGTTGTTGCTGTTGCTGTTGTTGTTGCCGCGGTTATTGTTTTTGTTGATCGTGTTGTTGTTGATGCTGTTGCTATTGCTGTTGTTGCTGTAGTGGTCGTTGTCGTTGTCGTTGCCGTTGTCGTCGTCGTCGTCGTTGTTGTCGTGGCTGTTGTTGTTGCTGCTGCTGCTGTTGTTGTTGTCGTTGTTGTTGTTACTGCTGCTGCTGCTGTTATTGTTGTTGTTGTTGGTTGTTCTTTTTGTTTTTGTTGTTGGTTGTTGTTGTTTTTGATGGTGTTGCTGCTGTTGTTGTTGTTGCCGTCGTCGTTGTTGTTGTTGCTGCTGCTGTTGTGGTTGTTGTTGTTGTTTTGGTTATTGTTGTTGTTGTTGCTGCGGCTGCTGCTGCTGTTGTTGGTGGTGGTTGTTGTTGTTGTTTTTGTTGTTGGTTGTTGTTGTGGTTGCTTTTGCTGCTGCTGCTGTTGTTGTTGTGGTTGTCGTTGTTTGTTGTTGTTGTTGTGGTTGTTGTTGCCGTTGGTGTTGTTTGTTGTTGTTGTTGCTGCTGCTGCTGTTGTTGTCGTTATCGTTGTCGTTGTCGTTGCCGTTGTATTCGTCGTCGTCGTTGCTGTTGTTGTTGGTGTTGTTGTTGTTGTCGTCGTTGTTGTTGTTGCTGTCGTTATTGTTGAACAATTATTTCTGAAGGATATTTATTGTTGATCCCCCCCACCGGTGCATACTGTTTGTTCCCAAGTGTGCCCCTCGACGCTCGCACCCTGTTTTTTGACAGGGGAAGTCTTGATGCTCAAACTGGGCCCTTGGTCCCCGGGTTACAACAACAACGGCTCCGCCTGAGACTTCCTCACGATTTAGCCAGGACCCCCGCTCCCGCCCGAGACTTCTTCGTATTTTATTCAGGAATCGCGCTCTCGCTTGGGACATCCCTATAATTTATTCAGGAATCGTTCTCCCGGCGCTCTGGGATCGCGCTCTCGCTGGAGACGTGCTTGCAATTTACTCAAGAATAGCGCCCTTGCGTTGGAATTTCTTGCAATTTGCGCAAGCGCCGTGCTCCCGACACCCAGGCACCCAGGAGTCGCGCCCGTTGTGGCCCCATGTGCATGCCCTTCGTGGCCCCGTTGTCGCCGTTTGCGGCCCCCTCACTGTCCTACGTGGCCCAGTTGCAGCCCTTCGTGGCCCCCTCGCTGCCTTTCGTGGCTCCGCATTATCCGCCCTTCGTGGCCCCCTTTCGTTCGCGCTCTTCGTGATCCCATACGCGTTCCCTTCGTGTCCCCGCTGTCGCCCTTCGTGGCCCCCTTCGTGCCTTTCGTGGCCTTGCTGTCGTTTTTCTCGCTCTCGCTTTCGCTCGTCGTCGCCGTCGTCGCCGTCGTCGTCGCCGTTGTCGTCGTCGTCGTCGTAGTCGTCGTGGTCGGTCCCCTGTCCGTCCTTCTTGGGGTCGGGTCGACGGTCCGCGGCCGCCCCGCCGATCAGCGCTGCTGCTGGCCATGCCGACGGTCCGCGGCCGCCCCGCCGCTTGCCGGGGCCTGGCCTGCAGGGAAGAAAGTATCCCCCCCCAAAGAAGGTTCGATCGAAGACGAAGAGGGCGGGTATCGAGGGTTTGGGAAATACGCGTTATTGGACGCTCGAGCAGGTAAGGGCGAACAGTCTTAACATGGTTGTTGTTGTTGTTGTTGTTGTTGTTGTTGTTGTTGCTGTTGTTGGTGTTGTTGTTGTTGTTGTTGTTGTTTGTTTGTTTGTTTGTTTGTTTGTTTGTTTGTTGTTGTGTTTGTTTGTTTGTTTGTTTGTTTGTTTGTTTGTTTGTTTGTTGTTGTTGTTGTTGTTGTTGTTGTTGTTGTTGTTGTTGTTGTTGATGTTTTTGTTGTTGGTTGTTGTTGTGGCTGTTGGTTGTCCTTTTCGGCCCCGGGTCTGGCTCTTCTTTTTTTGGTGCCCTTTGGGAGCGACTCGGGGCGAGGAGCCCGGGCCCCGGGGCAGGGACCGACGTTCTCTGCCGCCCGTGCTGCTGTCCACA